CACTATCACATTTTATGGCTTCGTCACCTTCCAGGTGTCGGCCAACACAGCTCGATTCAGGGTCCAAGTGGACTTTCTGGGTCGGGGTGTGTCAATATTTTTCTAATTATTGCATAAAGAAATTCTGTTTTTAGATTGTTGGAGCAATATTAGAAAATATGAAAATAACGCAAGAATTGCAATAATAATATTTATAAAGAAATTCACAACATCAATTATGTATGAGATTAATATAAATAACAAAAGAGTAAGTTTAGAAAAACTGACAAACTTGGAGATTGAGGCTTGCATAAATACAATGTCCTAAAGATAGAATTTCGCCCTTACTGTTGTGCTTATAGTTCGGTAGGCGTCCGTCTCCCAGGATTCAACAATTTATAATCTGAAGTTAAAGCACTTCAATCTTCGGACTTTGGTGAACTTCCTATATTCCGTACTCTCAAGACACGACTCGGATTTTTACTAAGACATTGGAGAAAACTCTTCTCTTAATCCTCTTAGATAGGTGGGATGCTTGTGTTTGTATAGAACACAAGCCACCATTTTTGAAACATTATGACTGTCGTCTAAGGTTCCAACGAACATATACAACTCATGAATTTGAATTTAACTATGACACATGACTCTTATTTTTCATTCATACAAAAATTAAATATTATAATATTAATTATGATATATAATTTCCAACACAAACCAGCCCAACAAATCCAGCAGATGTTGCGCTATCGCAACAAACCAAAGATGATCGCCATCAACGATCGCTCCTATCCTTAGATCGTCTACCGAGAAAGAGAAACGAGCGTAAAACTTAAAGTACTATCTGACTGTTGATAGACCTGACAATTTTTTGGCACAGAACTTCAAGGACAGGTCTGTCCAGACGTTAACTCTGAGCCATATGTTGGCCATCAACAGAAGAATAAGTTTATAACATGACATAAATGCTGTTAGGCCTAGCATTTGGACAAAATGCTATTCAACCTCTTGGATGAGCACTGCACTCAAAACGCGTCGACCCTAGAAATCATGTTAGTAGCCATGTGTAAATGTCACTTCCTCCCCAGGTGTCGAGTGGAGAAGTACCTTGTAGATCATGCCTATGTGTTCTGCCTATTTATTAGTAGAACAGTGGTAGAAGTAAAGACCCTAGTCTTTTAGGATTCACTAAGGGCGTAAATAAAGAAACGGAGTACCCTTATAAGCGGTCGAGTCCAAGAGAAATAAGTAGATGAAACGGAGTACCCTTATAAGCGGTCGAGTCCAAGAGAAATAAGTAGATTACTTAAGTCAAGATCCTCTGTAATTCACAACTCATATATACAAGAGTACTCCAGTGGATGTGGCTCATTCTTTATGAGTGAACCACTTAAAAAAATTTATTTCTATATTTGTCTTATTTTTCAAACCCATGTAGAGTTGACCATATTGGTTTTTATTGACCTTCCAATTTTGAGAGTTAACACATACAAATCAAATAATAATCTCGGAACTATTGCCGGTGGAAAATTACAAAACCAAAAGATAAAATTGATAGCAGAAAATTAAGGGTTATAATTCAATGTCTATTCTTCTCTCCAGGAGGTGAAATATATGTACAAGCTGACCAAGCATACAAGAAATCTCATAGAATACGAAAATTACAATCTTATAATAAATACAATAAATACAAAGAATCATTGCCTCACGACAACACTCCCCCTTACGTTGACAAATAGATGTCTCATAAGCTCAACTTGTCAAGTGAGTCATGAAAGACTCTAGCAAATATCGAATGTGTTAGAACAATTGCCAACTGTTCTTTAGACCTTACAAACGGTATCTCTAGTAACCTCACAACTAGCTTCTCTTTGATAAAGTATCGATCTACCTCCACATGCTTAGTTTGGTCATGTTGGACATGATTATTTGCTATTTCCCTAGTTGCTGGATTATGACAAGAAAGCTGTATAGCCCCTTGAGACTTAAACCCGATATTTTTTAATTTTTTAATTTTAAAAATTTTTAATTTGTAGAGACGGATTAAATGAGATTAGTTCTTCGTCAACAGTCGTATACGAGACACCAACCCTCTCCCGAAGGAGAAAAGACCGTTGCACCCAAAAACCGCCCGCCCATTCCCTTTCTACTAGATTTTATTAATAATATGAAGGGAACAAAAAAAAAAAAAAGTAAAACAAGCGGAGGAACTAGGCCAATACCTGCTAAAAACATCTTTTGAAGCCAACCTTAACAAGAAGTAGAAAACTGCTTGAAATAAGAAAACCCAGTTACAAAAAAAAAAAAAAAAAAACAAGGTAAAAACCCGATCTCAGTAAGCAATATACGGAGCCATAAGTGCTCCCAAAAAATGCATCGGACAACACATGAGTTGAGTTTACTTCATTGATTTTCTTGAACATGAACATGCGGCACACACCCAAATATACATGGCGTAAGATTAAGGGTAGAGGATAAATATATATGGTCTACCAAAACCTCAAGATGAGTCCAGAAGTCAATAATCCTAGAGGGCATCCAATCCATCAGACATATAGCATTGGTAATTGCGTCGGCCCAGTAAGACTGGAGTTGATGCACCTATAGGAGCCCGAGCTATCTCCAATATGTGTACATTTTTCTGCTCGGCCATGCCACTCTGTAGAGGAGTTTGTGGACATGTAGCTTCATGAAGATACCATTTTCGTGGAAAAGTTTTTAGAGTTCTGAATTGACATACTCACCGCTATTGTCAGACTGGAGAACTTTTGATAGAGAGTGGAAATTGACTCTGAAACATCTTATAAGAGTTTTATAAAATGAATCCAATATCACTCTTATTCTTTATGACATATAGAAATTGGGTCTCTCCATACATCAGAATAAACTAAATCAAACGGATTCGGTCTTTTTATTAAAACTCAAAGAATAAAAGAAAAATATGACCTTTAGCTAATTTGAAAACATACATTTTAGATTAGAGTTTGAAACACCACCAGATGAAGATAGAAGTAATGGCCACAAATAACCAAGGAAAGCATGCCTTAACCGATGATGCCACAACCATATATTTTTAATCTTCTTGCTGTCACCACGGCGAACTTGATTCACTCGATCTGGTGTCACATCATCCACATAGTGCAACCCCTTCTTTTAGTACCACGCGCAATTATTACCTTGAGTCTGGATATCCTAAAGCAAGCAAAAAAGAGGAAACAGTAATATAATGCAATCCAGTTGTTCAGTAACCTGATCAACATACAAAAGATGAGCAGGAATTTGCAAGGTACGATGTAAAGATAAAGTAGGTGTGGCGGCAACAGAACCGGTCCTCGTCACAGCAAGAGATTCTTTAGTTGTTGTTACTACGCTTCCTTTAGGAGGGGATGTCATATATTGAAATAAGGTTTCTGATGCAGGGTGATGGTTAAAAGAATTAAATTAAGAGCAATAAAAATTGAAATATAAGGTCCACTATCTCCCAGAGCTAGCTAGCTAAGAGAGACCTGAAACCCCAAATAGAGCCCCATTTCCAGTACCATCCCACAATCGCAGAGAATTTGAAAACAAAAGCTGAACAATCTCATAAGAGAAAGGCTCTAAATAGAATGAAGACTATCTTTGTCAACATTTTCAGAGGAATGGGCGGTCCGAGACATTCCAAAATATGGACTTTTGCAACCATAGCCATGGGAGAATCATCCACATGGCTTTTAGTGCCAAGCATGGTTGCTTGCCGCTGAGCCTCACGACGGACAAAGTTGAAACATTTTGCCAACCCCGGAAGTGGTTTCATCTGGAGAATATCACTTCCAACTTTGTCAAACACATCACTAAGGCCAGTAAGAAAATCATAGATCTAGTCTTTGATCAGATCCTTCTTTCGGCTCTTCAAGCGAGCCGCACGTACCATCTTGCTAGGTTGATGTTTGTCAAGCTCTTGCCAAATATTGTTCAATTCAGCAAAATACAATTGAATTGGACGACCTTGTTGTTTGGTCTGGGGAGCCTTGCATCGTAACTCATAGATCAGGGATTCATCAGATCCATCGTGACATTTAAGTCACACTTTTCCAAATATCTTTAGCCATGGGCAATTCGATAAGTAAGCCAAGCACATTGGAGGGGTTACATGGTTTTAGCAAAACAATTTCTGATCCAAAAACCTGCAGCAAAATCACCATTAGATTTGACACGACCATAAAAATTAATTTTAACATAATCATTATCTGGAGGTTTCCAGCCAAAATCCTCATAGCTTTTCATTTTCCATCGTTTTAATGTAGTTTTATTAGCTTTCCAAAATTCACCTAAACAATTCATATGTGTAAAAGCTTCCGAAATTTGAGACGTCTCAACAGCAGTGCTGATGTTGTAGGCTATTTTTGCCTTTGAGATCATATTAGACCATAATTTCTCATGTCAAAGATGTGAGACACTCACATTTGACGAGTAATTTTCCTCCCAAAGTTTATTGAAGATGCTTTAAGATACCAAACAACTCTAAACTCTACTCATTGTTTCTTGAGCCAAACCATCAAATTTTGTCTCCCTCGTAAGTGCAAACCTTATAAACACCTAAATTCAAGCTTCGGATTAACCTTCACAATCGTTGTTCGTCATTGTCGATTTTATAACATGTCCAAAAGTTAGTTCCGTCCAATATGTAAGGCAAAGTAAACACTTTCCGATTTGATCGATTCGATTGTGATGAAGGCGTAAGACTCTGACTATTAATTAATTCATTCATTCAAATAGAAAACAGCGCAAAATAAGTACAGAATTAAGCAAATAAAAACCCTACTAAAACGCCTCAATGTAAAGCAGAAGAGTAAACTACTAAACTGCCAACTAGATTGACAAGGAGCCAAGCCTTGATGACATTATAAGTAAAATTACGATTCTGTTGATGACATTATAAGTAAAAATACGCTAATTACAACTAGATTGACAAGGAGGAGTCCCATAAAGTGGATGGAAGTATTTTGTGTGTTATATTGTGGTATCCCTATGACAAGGCAATACTACTTATATCTTGCAGGAAGGGCAGTGGCTGATACGGACTCATCTGTTAAGGATTGATCCAAAGACGAGCTTTCATCTTCATCGATTTCTGATTCAGTAACCCTTATATTCTCCAGCTCTCTCACAATTTCATCCATCCCTGGTCGCTTCTCAGGGGACGGATCACAGCAACGCATTGCAATTTTTAGCAGTCTAACCATATCACTACTGGCTCTTCTGTGCATAGTTATTTCCATATCGAATATCTCAGCCGTCCATTCCTCCCTAACTGCTCGGTGAACCCAACCGCAGAGGTCTATACCATTCACGCCCGGTTGGGCTGTGCAAGCTGAGAACTTTCCTGTCAAGAGCTCTAAAACAAGGCTGCCGTAGCTCCAAACATCAGATGCCTTCGAGACTTTCTTGGACTTTTGGTACTCCGGCGATTTGTATATGACCATGCGCTGTGTTGCAACTGGAATCGCAACAACCGAAGCAAAACCATAATCAGAAACAAGAACCCCATCATTATCATCCAGAAGAACGTTCGTCGACTTTAAGTTCCCGTGAGGAGCGGTGCTAGTGCTACTGCTGCTGCTGCTGCTGCCGCTTTGTATTGATGAGGTCGCATTCCTGTGGAGATACTCGATTGCTCGGGCTACACCTCGAGCAACTATTAGTCTTGACCTCCATCCAAATGGAATGCGGTCTGGACCTCTTTTTCCTGCATATATATAAACCACTATCTTCGTAAATATCAATTAGAAGAATTAACTCACTCGTATTCGTAATGTATAGGTACGTACCAAACAATCGGTTGAATAAATTCCCTTGGCGAATGTATTTGTACAACAACAACTTCTCATCCTTGGAGAAGTAGTAAGCAAGAAGAGGCAGCAAATTGGGGTGCTTCAGACTGGCAATCTGCTGCAACTGCTTTGTGAAATCTTCACTAACCAGTGGCTTCAGATCCCTTAGCCGCTTAACTACCACGGATTGCTTAATTTGATTGCCTGCCACGTTATTCATCGTCACTATCTCCGCCTTATAGCTATTCCCAAAGATGCCATTCCCTAAACTCTCCGCGGATGCTTTTAGAAGATCTCCCATTTCAAATATTTGATGATCATCTGCTCCGTGGGGCTGAATGAATTCCAGCTTCCCTCTCGTGTGTTGATCCTGTCCTTTAACCTCGGCAGCTTTCATTGTCTGATCTTGACGGCCTTCTTCTATCCTCTTGTCTTTATCATCACCAACCTCACCTTTTTCGTCCTGATTCGGTGATGCCGATTTAGTCTTCTCCAATTGTTTCATCATCTTTTTTAGCTTCTGTGATTTCTTACAGTAAAGAAGGAAAAGAAAAATTACAGCTACAAGAGCAGCAACATCCAAAAGGAACCAGTACATGCTTAACTTATCCTCGGACTTGGAAGAACTAGGTTTACCAACTTGACCAGATGCTAGGTTGTCAATTCCACGAACAGTGCTAGAAGATTTGCATAAAATGGAAGAAGGCGGCCCGCACAATCCTGCGTTACCAGAAAAAGAATCATAGCCAAATGCTTGGAGAGCATGAGTTGCTGGGATCAATCCGCTAAGATTGTTATTCGAGACGTTGAATGCCTTTAAGGTCAATTGGTTAAATTCCGGAATAGGACCCTCGAAGTCATTATCTTGAAGCAGCAACGACTCCAACATCCCAAGACTCAAAAGCGAGAGTGAAATTTCCCCATGTAATATGTTGCCGGACATATCAATATGCGTCAATTTCAGGTTGAGACTAAAGTCCATCATGTTTCCCCATAGAGAGTTGTTCTTTAAGCTCAGGGTTGCCAACTCAGTGAAGTCCATGAACGCGTCGAGCTTGATGTTGCTTCTGAGTTCCATACTGCACAACACAATTCCAGTAACGCGGCCGATGTTACCGAAATTAGTGCATTGAATTCCAGACCACATGGAAGGCTGACTCATGAAGCATGGATCAGCCGTCCAGTTAGCATTCAGGAAGGGATGATTGAAACTAGTCTTGAGGGCAGTAAGAGCATCCTTCTCCTTTCCGCTGTACCCAACCTGGGCTGTAGCGCATCTAACGCGTAACAGCAAACACGGAACAAGAATAAGAACAGCAATAAGGTAATGTTTTTCCATCATCAATATTCAATACTTGTTCTGATGATGAACAAGCAACTGATGGCATAAAGATCAATAAGTACAATAAGTAATCGAAAATCTCGACGGACGATTTGTAGCTAAGCAATAGCAAATATTCCCATAAAATTCTATTGCGTACAGCTAGCTATTTAAATGTTTCTATGTCGATGGAGGATAAAAACAAGGACGGACATGGTGCACATTCTTGCTGAAAAAACCTAGGAGAGGGCTGTTTTTACATTGTTGTCGACGTTGATATGGAGGATTTTGGGTTAGTTTATATATATGTGTGTAGATAATGCATTTGGACATATTTTACTGTAATTAATTATTAATTAGTTTTCTTCAAAAAAATTATTAATTAATTTTGTATTGGTTTGTCACTTTGCACAGCAGAGAAAAAGCTTTATTTGTTCCGAAGTACAATTTTGTTGCTATCTTACAGATTTGGATCCTCCCCTAAGCTAATGAAGAGGATTCTTATGATTAATTATCGTGGGCCGTTGGATTCTTATCCAACGGCTACAAACAGAGGGGTCCTTTTAAAGTTATAATGATTGTAACCGTTGGATAAAAATTCAACAGCTCATGATGATTGGTTAGGAGGATCCTCTTCATTAGTTCAGGAGAGGATCCAAATCCCTATCGTACCACCTACTAGTAGCAGTGCCGCTTAAATTATAAAAAAAAAATATATATATATATATATATATATGAAAGTTGGGTGTTTGTGTTTGGTAAACCCTTGTAACCAGTTTTTTTTCACAATTTTTAGCCAAAAAACTGAAATAGCAAAAGTCAGCTTCAAAAAACTGGTTTTTTTTTTTTTTTTGGTCTTATAGCATGGGTAAACAATATCGTTAAATGAACTTTTCAAAAATCAATCATGCCCTTATTTTTTTCGTTTATTATATGCTACCAGTTGTAGAAATCAGATCTGAATTTTAGGGCGTCCTTCCTCCCAGCGATCTCTCTCCTCTCCTAGGTTGCGTTCTCATAGCTCACGTCCTTTATCTGGTAAGCTTCTCTTGTCTGAAAATTTCAACCAAATTTCTTTTTTTTTTTTTTGTTTGATTTTCTTGTTGGGTTTTCAAATTTGGGGATACGAGAGTGTGAGAGGTTTAAACTAAAATATAAATATTTTTTAATAAGTATTTTTAATAATTGTCACTTAGTACTACGGTCTAGTGGTATTCATCTTCACTTGTAAGTGAGCGGTCTTAGGTGTCTTTGGTCCGATTCTCTCCAAAAGCCAATTTGAATTACATTATTGCTAACTTATTGTGAGGCTAAACCTATCCCCTCCCCTTTAGTGTAGATATTTATATTTTTATTAATTGACCTTTGTTTGCCAAATGATGAAATTAATACACATACGTATTAAGTCTTTTTTTATCATTTTACACAGTCAACGCTATTTTATATAAAAGTTTACCAAACATCATAACAACTTTACAACTATAGTTTACTAATTATTTTACTGCTTTATTTCAAAACTGTTTATTCTCATTGCCCAACACGTGCAGTTTTTTTTTTTTTTTTTTTCATGAGCACAACAATACAAAACTAGTCCTAAGTAGAACCATTCATTTTATATTCTATTTTATGTGAGACTGCTACATAGTAGCTAACTTCCCAATATTGATCAATGCGTGCAGATAATTCAACATCTATCATTAATTTTCTTTTGTTAATTCGTACATGCAAAGTAAAAACCCAGCAATATTTTTTATTCAAGCAATCAACCCACTATGATACCATGTTAAACTTTTAGGGCAATGGGCCAACGCCCCACTACTAATAATACTAGTACTCTCTTCAACTTACATCTTACCATATGTAACATAACAAGTACCGAAGATTTCTACACAAGGTCTCAGGTCTGGGTACCCTAAAGATTAGAACCATTAATTTATCTAAACCACATATTAATAGAATGTTCTTTGTCAACTAAAAAGGACAAAAACTATTTAACCTTCTATCACAACAAAAAAGTTAAAGACAGTAACGTAAATTCACAAAACGAAAATTTTTTGGTTTGTGTTAAGCCTCTATAGATGATTTTAACATCTTTAATTTAAAAAAAAATAAATAAATAATAAATTAAAAAAAAAAAAAAAAAACCTATCTCCCCGCCTCCACTCCCACGTTCTCTCTCATTCCCTTCCTCTTACCTTCAATTTTAAAAATAGAAAATTTCATGTGTGGGCATACAATAGTATTATATATTTGTATTTTTTTTTTTTCAAACAATGATATTATCTATACTAAAGGGAGAAGGTGGGTATAGCCTCAAAATGGGCTAGCAATAATTTGATTCAAATTCGCCTTTGAACCAAAATGGACCAATGCCCCACAACTAATAATACTGGTACTCTCTACAACTTACATCTTACCATATGTAACATAACAAGTGTCAATGTGGTACATAAATGGGTCACATAAGTTTTTTTTTTTTTCTCACAAATAGTCCTTGAAATTGACATGCAACATCAAAATGGTCCTTGAAATTGACATGCGACATCAAAATGGTCTATAGAATTGAAAATCGATCAATGTAGTCCCACAAGTAAGTGTCCCAAATCAGTGTAGTCATTCCATTACAATTCTATCAAAAATTCTATTATGTGTTGATGTGACATATAAATAGATAACACGAATCTAATTAAATTTTATAAAATTAGAAATAGGTGTAATAATTTAATAGTTAATAAAAAGTTGAGAACCCAAAAACAGTCCTGCAATCAGCTCCAATACTAATCCACATTCCTCTACCTCCTTCGCTGTCTATTCTTTAAAAAAATCTCAATACACCAATCTTTACACACTTCGGCACCCTTCTCTGAATGGAACCTAGATCGAGATCACCTTTGATGACGGCTTAACTGATTGGCAACGATTTCTGGGACATCACTGCTAACATTTAAGCGGTCAACATCCTCAGAACCTTAATTTTGAAGAGCTTGTTCGACGCTTCTCTGGTGGTTTGGTGACTCAAAGATCAGAGGTATACCTTGAGATAATGAGGTTATAACCGAGATGCGTCTATTGTTGGCTGAAAACTAATTCCAAACCCCCTCTTAGGCCTAGTTAAGCCTTGTGCCTTTGAGAATTTATAGAAGGGATCTCTTTTCGGACCAGGTCCTATTATAAGAAAAAAATTCTATTGTGCAAAAATGTATTTAGACAATTTTTTTAATTAATTATTAAATTCACATCAGCACATAACAATTTTTTTTTACAGAATTGTAATGAAATGATTATATTGATTTGCGATACCTATTTTCAATGACTACATTCATCGATTTTCAATTTTTGGGACAATTTTAATGGTGTAGGTCAATTTCAAGGACCATCTTGATAATGTGAGTCAATTTCAAGAACCATATGTGATAAAAACCTGTCAATCTTATGAGGCTATTTATATGTCACATCAGCACTTAACGAAATTTTTAACAGAATTGTAACGGAATGACCACATTGATTTGCGACATCTATTTTTAAGAACTACATTGATTGATTATCAATTTCAAGGACCATCTTGATGGTTATGGTCAATTTCAGGAACCATTTGTGATAAAAATCCTAATATTATATATATATATATATATTTTTTTTTTTTAACAAATGATATTATTTATACTAAGGGAAAAAAGGTAAGCTTAGTCTCAGAAATAGACTAGCAATAATTTAGTTCAAATTCACCTTTAGTGAAAATCGAACCTAAGATCTCTCTTATAAGCGAAAATGAATATTACTATACCGTAGTACTAAGTGGCCTTTCTTTGTTTTTTTGTTTTTTTAGTTTGTCAAATTTCCAATGGATTTTCACATACACCATCTCCCATCCCCACGGCAGCCCCTCCCCTCTCTCCCTCTCTCCCTCTCCGCCTCTCCCAGTCAGCTATGGAAGCCAAGAAATCAACAGAATTGGAAAATTAACTCAGATAAAGATTGATCACTTTCAAATACTAAACACCAAAGTTTCGGAATCCACGAAGAGCATATAGCACAAAGGTGCTGCATCCGTCTTTTAGCCAAGACAAGTTCGCTTTTCAAAGAGATTGAAATGCAGAATCTGACACACCTCCAACACCAGCTTCATAAACGTTTGCTGCAAAAGCGAGACCCCAAAATTAGTCATTCTACCACACTAAGCAACATTCAAGTTTTTCATGGTTTTTGAGGAAGACCCATCTTCCAAAAACACACCAAGTTACCCAAACCCACGATCTTTAACCAATGATCTATCTTGCAAACTCAAAACGCTAATCAAATTACTGGCCCAATGGCTCTAAGAGCTTGGTCTGAGACCAATCCAGACTATCCCAAATCCAAAGGTGTCAAAACATTTCACATGTTAATGAAATATTAATGCTTTCAAGCAAACGGGAACTCGAGGTCAAAATAAGGTTTGAGGGCATGTAAAATACCTTACTGTTCACGTCTTGACCAAAGATTCTTGTGTTGCATCCTCATTTGCTTTCTTAAATCGAGCTACGTGCTTTTGATACTCTTCTAGTTCATTCTCAAGCTTTTCAATGAACTGACTTGTATGTTCGAGGGACTGCTCGTATTTATATTTTTCCAGTGCCTGCAGTGTTTTAAACACAAAAGCAATTGTAACGTTAACCTTTGCATTCATGTGAGAATCAATGGCTTTTAAACCAATTGATCAATTGGCCTTCATGAAAAAGTCAATTCCAATATCTCAACCTTCTGGGGTGATGATTTCATAATAGAATCATAATGTGGAGTACAAATAAGATAAGCTAAAACTGTAAATTTAATTTCATTTTATTTAAGACCCTTGAAAACAGAATAATTTTGTTATCAAAGACGAACGCCATAACCAAATTTGACTAGCAGCCAACAAAAGATACCATCCTCAACCTAAGAAACAGGACACAAAACTAAATTTCTCATTGCTAACTGTATTTCAAAAGACTTCCCAGAGAATCACTCTCAAAGCTGAGAATCCCATAGTCCACCCTCTACTATTACTCTGCCTGGTTCCATCCAAGGATTGAGACCTGCAAGGTTAGCTCAAGAGGAAACTCCACAACCACTTACCAAGAAAAGACCTATTTCTCTCCTCTAAATTCTCATTGCTAACAGTTTCACCCTTGGTTATTTGCACAAGGTACCTGAAATAATATGACCACACAACCCAAAACCAATTGAGCAATAAGTTGCATGCGACTCTATCAAAATAAGGGTAACCCTTGAAGAACAACCTTTCCTCCACCCTTCTAAATTCTTCCTGACTTTCTCTACCACTGAATTGCAGATTTTAAGACACATTGGATTGCCACCAATGAGACATGAATAACTGAGGCCACTCAACTCTCCGATGAAACTAACCTACTGTCCCCTATATTGATGTCAAGAAAACGCTCTTGAAAATATCAATCCTATGCCCCGATACTAGCCCAAACAGCTCAATAATCTTGACGAAATTGTTGTCAGAAAATTGCAGAAGGGATAAACTCATTCCCCAGCGATAAACAATCTCCAATCATGTTAAAAATCGTAGCCATCTCCACCAGTCCATGAAGTGAATCAACTACAAGTGTGTAGCGAAATGGGTACAGGAGGTCCTATTGTCTCAAGCATCTACACGCTTTTAAAGAAAATACTTCCATGGAAAATAGTTAGACGACTTAAAATCATTCACGGGCAACCAGAATTATTTCTTATTTATGCATTCTGGAAAACAAAATTTCTTACTTGGAATCTAACAATTTGTGAAATTTCAGTCCTACTCTACAATATCCTTTATCTCTTCTCCATAAAGGTACTAAAACAAAAACAACAATTTAACCTGAATCAAAATTTAAATTTCTTGTAACTCACCCTTCTATTAGTTAAAAGTAGTTTATGTTACCTATAAAAAAGAGATTAGAACTACGCATTTAAAGAAAAGTCTCATTTTCAGATCACATTTTCGTGTCAATTGTTATCCACAAAAAGATAAAAAGCAGAGGAATGCAAAAGACAGCAGCGATTCTCCCAAAAATATTCATATTTGGTCAAAATTGAGTACAGTAAAAACACAATGCTGTAGCAGGATTAAAAAAAAAGACAATCAACTGGAGAAGTATAAACAAGTGTTACATCCGGTAGTTTGGCAAATACAGAAATTTCTGAAAGAGAAAGGAACCTGTGTACTCAAACTATAAATCCCAAAATACGAAGAAATAATGGTGTATCACATCCAGTATATTGCACACTCCTTGTAATGCAAAAAGCTCAATAATCACATCATATCTACTCAGCATTAACAGAAAATTATTTCACTCAAACAAATTGATAACTTATAACGTGCAAAAATGTTACGAACACTTTATTTTCAGGACAAGACAAAATCCCAGTCTAAACCTCCTATACTTTCTGGCGCTAACTTCCACATTAAGAAAATTGAACAATCTAATGGTAGCTGAAAATTACCTTATTTTTGGATAATGTATCCGGAGGTGACATCACTTTCGGCTGCACATAGTTCTTTCCCCGGTAGAAAATTATGCTATTATTAGGTTTTATGTCAATCACAATGCCTTTACTCAGTCGAGCAAGCTCTTCAGCATATTCATGAACCTGTCCGGGCTTACAAGGCTTGCAAATTACCTTAACAGTTTCATGCTTCTTCCAATGCAGATGCATATTTAGAACCACCCCTCCGAATACTCCTCGCCTTCCTACTGGGACATAGTTCTTCTTTTTCTCACCGGTTCGCTTAAGATAATGTTTTTCTTCTTCAGTTAAAATTTCAGGATCATGTGTTTCAGCGGGGGCTTTGGGAACCTCAAATTTCCTCAACTTCTCAATCAACCATGCTTCCTTTCGTTTTGCCTAAAGAATACAGAAATTTACTGAGATAAAAGTAATAAAAGAATATAGTTAGAAAGAAAAAAGTTATTTGTAAAGATAAATCAAGGCACTTAAGTGTAAAACTATAGATGATGAGATAGTGAGATAGTAGCAGCAAGGCATTCAAAGAGAACAAAGCATCTCACCAACCTTTTCAAGTTTGTATATAATTCTAACTTGTGGGTTTGGAGAGTTCATCTTCTTTTTGGCCTTGAGGCGGTAAAATCGCAGTTCATTCAGTTTGGCTTTCTTGGACATTTTAACACGCCGAGCCACATCCATCTTCTTGTTCCCATTGTTTGAGGGACCAGTCTTATCGAGTGGCTTGCCGATTGAAAACCTGACAACATCATTGTCTGTCTTCACCTCCAATGATGTACTGCTCATGCATCTAGCAGTAGCAGGCAGGCAGTTTCGAAGAATGCTATGAGACGTAAAAACATTTGACCTCCGCACGGATAACGAGTCCAATGCGGAGGATGTACACGAAGCTTCGGAAGGAGAGTGTGTAAAACATGTAGTGGATGGCACCGAGTGATCGAAAACATTTTGGGTTACACAATACAACCAGAGAAAAGGGTCCCTGTATAAGAAAACATACACATTCCAACACAATCAATCCAGAGTTTGATAATTTCGTAACCCTAATGCTAATAATTCTTGGCAGAAATATGAATGAAAATGCCAAAAAACAGGAGAGGAAGTGAAATGAAAGGAAAAAAAAAAGTACCCTTTGACCGCATTTGGGCAAGAGCGAAAAACGGCTCTAGCAGAAGCTGAAGCTGAAGAAGCTAACATTTTGGGCGTCAACCGAAACCGATCCTAACAATGAATTTGACGGGAAATTTGGAAAAAATTCTTAACCCAATTCTTAATTAAATTCTTAAAATTCAAACCAAAATACCTAAGTAAAGTAATCACCCTTGGAAATAAACACCATGATACGTATTGTAATTTGTACGGGCTAAGACTGGGGAGCTCCTCCGGGAGTGGCCGAGGTCAGGCAGCGGGTTGCTCCTAGTGATGTGGTGGAGGGAATGGTAGCCCTAGGTGGGTCGGGATGAGTAAATATTATACAGTTTAATCCGAGGTGGTTGGCAATGGTAATTTAACGATTTTGGTGCCGGGGGAAGTAGTGGCTCGCTGTCGTTCTGCTTCCTGAGGGAGCGGCAGCGGCGGCGGTTCAACCATTAGAATGGTGTACAAATAGATTTCAAGGAGAAAAGGCGCGCTGGGACTTCTATTTTCTTGAGCTCGTTTGGTGAGTGGTACAGGGATGGGATTCGGTCAAGTAATGCAACTAAATTTGTAAATTAAAATTGTATACTAAGATAATTTTTAAAGGAGATGTCAAATTTTAAATTTGAAAGCTTACATAACATTTTGACATCTTTTAAATTTTTTCTCTCCAACTGATAAATCAAATTTTAAACATAAAATAATAATTCATATGTATTTTCTTTGCATTGGGAATGAAAAGAAACAGAAGGATAATGCTTTAAACCAATAAAAAATTAATAAAAAGCATTTAATAATTAATTAAAAAAAATCTGAAGGTGCTCTCAAATTTGGCAGCAAGGGGAGAGATGTCAATCCATGTCATGCCACATTAGGTTTGGCTTCTCGGTTGGAAAACATTAATGCTGCCTTTTGTTACAGTTATTGCTGATTTGGACAATTTGACATCTTCTTTGAAGATGCTCTAAGTGTCATTAATAAAACAATTAGCACGGTAATTAATATTTAAGTAATAATAAAATCATCAACTTTTATATCATTTTAGTTTACATACTTAGTTTACAAAATCGAGTCTATGAAAATTTTTCGTTTTAGTTTTAACAAACAACTTTACTGGATAGGTAATGATAGGAAGATAAAATTTGTAAAGTAAGTGATAGGGAATTTGATGATTGAACTATTATTTAAGTATTGATTACCGTGTTTACTTTTTAATGGTGACGCATAATTTAGATTACAAATTTAATTTACAAATTTAGTCTACCTAACATTACTCTATTTTTTATAATTTGAGAACGCGTCTAGTAGTTTAAGTTGAAAATAATTTATTTTGAAAGACATAATTAGGCCTGTAAACGGGGTCGAAACTGTTTGAACTCTCATAGAGTTAAGCTCGTCTTTAGCTCCTCAAAGCTCAACTCGTAAAAGAACCAACCAAACCTAACTTAAGTTGATTAAGAAACAAATCCAACTTGAATACTATGTATGTTCGGCTTGTAAAACTTGCAAACAGCTTAATTTTTATTTGCAAAATAGTTCAACGTCGGCTTGAACTAAGCGCAATCATTCAGCTTCGAGACCAAATAATATTAATAAAAGGACGAAATTTACAAAAAAGTTACAATTATAAAATCACAACAAATTAAGGGTTGTATATTTGAGAAACTTTAATGGATTTATAAATCCAAAGATTTTTATAGAGTTTAATTGATTTGTAGAGATTCTATATAAATTTTGATTCAATTCCCTCGAAATCTTATGGGAAGAGGTGAGATTTGTGGATTTTTAAAATACACTACGAAATCTTTCCAATTCCCTCTCATTCCTCAACTTTATCAAATTTTTTAAAATTAAATTTTAATTGAATACACCTTGAATTTCAGAAAATCATTCAAAATCCTGATTAAGTGGCCTAAATTCATTAAAATAATTAAAATCTCTCAAAATCTCAATTAAATACACCCCTAAAAGTAATTCATTTTACAAATTACACCGAAGCTTGCGGTGAAAAATGCAGTTACCGAAATCCGAAACTCGCTCATATGGAGGAAACACCCCATTTCTTTTCACGCTTTGTCTTGTTTTGTCTTGGTAATCTTCTCCCACTGTCTGTCACTTAAACTCAGCCGCCGTCCGCGTCTGCGCCTCCTTGGAGAAAGGAAGACTAAACACTCGACTCAAAGAGAGGAGAAACCGCCTAAACCAAGCTCTCTCTCTCTCTCTCTCTCTCTCTCTCTCTCTCTCCCCCACAATTCAGATTACTTTTGCGCACCCAGTCCAAACCCAAAGTCAACATTATGGAGTTCCACCTAAACCACAGCACCAACTCCCCCGCATCCTCTGCCTCCTCCAACACCACCGCCATCGCACCCAACCCCAACCCTAACCCTGATTCCACCTCCAACTCTGTCTCCGCCGACGACCCAATGCACTCCTGGTGGGAGTCTATCTCCAAAGCCCGCTCCCGCATCCACTCCTTGTCGTCTCTCCTCGATCCTTCCCTTTCCCAGTCCCTCTCTTCCCTCGCCGACTCCGACCGCCCCGCCCTCTCCCTTCTCTCCTCCCTTCAATCCTACGACGCCGTCTCTTCTGCCCTCTCCTCCCCTCTCTGCGGCTCCGGATCCGACCCCCTCTGTCACTGGCTTTACGACACCTTCCTCTCCTCCGACCCCCATCTACGCCTCGTCGTTTTCTCCTTCCTCCCCCTCCTCTCCGGCCTCTACCTCTCCCGAGTCCACTCTCTCTCCTCTGACTCCCCATCTCTTCCCTCCCTCGCCGGCTTCGAAGCAGTTCTCCTCGCCATCTACGCCGCCGAGACCAAGGCTCGAAACGGCAAGCCTGTCGTCGTTTCGATCCCCGATCTCTCTCAACCTTCTCTCTACCACACCCCACTCCTCCAGAAACCCAACCCCCTCACTGCCTCCACCGCCCCCCACCAATCCATTGGGGTTTTGTCGCCACCGCTTGAACCCCAGGTCGCGGTGAAGTCCACCAAACGTGCCTGCATCGTCGGCGTTGCCCTGGATTCCTATTACAAGCACATTTCCCAGATGCCCACTTGGTCCAAGATCGATTTTTGTCGATTCCTAGCTTCTTGGGCCGGCCAGGATTGCTCTTGTCTGCGACAATTCGGTGATGATGATACCAACGAGCCCGATATGAATTCGGGATTGTTCCTGGAGGGCAGCGATGAGATTGACGTTGTGACCGAAGAAATGGACCAGTTGACGGTGAGGATTGAGAAACCTAGTAGCAATGGTGTACATTTGGAGCCAAAGGGGTCCAGAATTCCATTACCTTGGGAGCTTTTGCAGCCTGCATTGCGAATTTTGGGGCATTGTTTGTTGGCCCCATTGAATTCTCAGGATGTTAAGGATGCGGCTTCCGTTGCAGTAAGGCGATTGTATGCGCGGGCATCTCATGATTTGGTGCCCCAGGCAATTTTGGCTACCCAGAGTCTCATTCAGCTTGATAAGAGGACACGTGAGGCTGCCAAGACTGTTGCAGCTGCTAATTCGTCTTCAAATGCTAACACCCCAAGCAAAGCTAAGAAACCAGAAGTGTTTTTGGTCTCAAAATGAGTAAGTAGTTGGCTGGTTTGTATGCTGATTTGATTTTGCACATTGGATGTTGTATAGCTATATATCCAACTGATGAAAGCAGGTGTTGTAGATTAATGTTGTATGATTGTCAGTCTGTGATTTGTGTTTGTAGATCCATCCTAGTGAGAGGTAACTTTTGATTACAAGTTTTCTTGTGGTTAGTTAAATGTTATGAACTATGCCCTTGTGTATTTCTTTAAGTAGCGATGTATTGTTTTTTTGTTGATCTTGTACTTGCAAAATTGACTGAACTGTTAGTTACTTAAAGTCTGGTAATTTATGTAGCTTATCATTTACGTGTTATTGCTTTCTCATTTCATCTCGTCATTGTAATACATTATCATTTGTATTGTCATCTGATCCAGTGATGCTCTATCTGTTTTTGTTTTTGGCATGCACTTTTCCCTTCACTGATGCCGCATCTCGTCTTGTTGGATCTTTTCAACCCAGTAATTGTTGGAGGAAGATGGATATGAGAGAATACGGAAGAGAGTTTAAAACGGCAAACTGAAGCTTTATTGATAACTGACTTTATTGATTTCAAATTGATTACAACACCAGGCCATCTTATTGGTTATTTATAATAACATTCAGACCTTTTCATAACAGACATAACTCTTGGATTAGTTCCAAGAGTTGCAGACACAACCCTAGACTTCTAAAGACATACAACTCTTCCTAAACGTAGCTCTTCTCAAGAGACACAACTCTACTTAACAACTGTTACAACTAACAGGGAGATAGTGCATTACGTTTAACAGTAATATATAATGTGTGTTTACACTTATTGTTCGTGTTTGATATTGATGTGTTGGTTTGAATGTGTGAACCAATAGCTTTCTTACTTGATGGTTTGTGGGAATCAATAAACAAGCGGTTTGTTTATCTGCCCACTCAGTTTGATTGTTTGGCATTAATCTGATGACTGCAAAGTCATTTTAGACCTATTTACTGCTTAACTGTTGGTTCATATGTGAAGTTTTTTTTAATAGTGCTTAACGGCCATCTCCATTAAGCTTACTCCCAGGCTTAACCTTCTCGATTGCTTGACCTTCTTGCTTATAGGCTAGATAGGGTCTACTTTGTACACTTTCAGCTTCGTTTTGGACTGATAAAAAGAAGTTATATGTCTTCCTGTCTGTCAATATCTGGATGTAATGTAGGGTGTGGAAAATACAGTAGTCAAATTGTTACATGCGTAACGGTGGTTCTTGTGAAACCGGGTTTCTTATCATTCTTTTTGTTTGTGTTTTTTTGGACTTATGTTAAATAGACTCTTACGAGTGCCGAGGGTTGGTTGACAAGGAAGAATTCGAAAGGCAAAGTTACTTCGATATATGCAATATGATTGAGCAAAACAGGGTTCATTGGATAGAACAATAGTGTATAATAAAATGTCCTGATGCAAAAAGGGTTAGGACTTAGGAATGTGATTAAAAGTAACAAGGCACTACTTGGGATTTGGTTGTGGAAATTTTTGCTGGAAAAGGATTGAGTGGTTAGGGAACCATGAAAATGGTCATAGGCTTGTGTGGTTGCCGATCGAAAAACATGTTCTGGTGAAGAATGGGGAAAAGGTTAGTGTTTTGGGAGACACCTTTACGTATCTCTTTCCCTCACCTATGGCGAGAATTTGTGTAGTTCTATTCCAGTAAGCTGGGATTTTGAACTTTGAGGAAATCTATGCAGTTCTCTTCAAATTTTATGTTGAAGAGCTTCTGTTTCATTTTGTTCAATGTGTATTTCATGTTTTGGGTAATGGGGTTGATAAGGAAA